TTACGAACAACTAGTAACAACGTGAACTTAATATATAACATTTAGAGATCTGAAGCTTTTTGTTGATGGGTGTGCCCGATGATTTTATTTTTGTAATCAATTAGTAACATCTGAAGTTTTTGGCTTAGGTGGCTGTGCTCGATGAGTTTTATACTAACTCCTCACAGTCAACCTGCACCTTATTTTCTTTATTGAGGTCAAATAAATTATTTCGTTTCGTTTCGTTTCGTATGTATGTATGTATGTATGTATGTATGTATGTATGTATGTATGTATGTGCGTATGTAGGTATGTATATATGTATGTACTCTTACTTTTGAACTATATTTGGTTTCATATCATTTAATTTATTGAAATGCTATAGAATCCTAAATTCAAAACTTTAATTTTATGTACTCATTTTGAACTATATCTCTGTTTCATAAGATTAATAGAATAGAATCTGCAGTTCAGTAACTTTTGATTTATTTCGATCTAGTTTAATCCTTGATTTTTGTCGAACTATTTTAATTTTTGATTTTTGTTGATCAATGTTGATTTTATTTGGATAGGGTGACTTTCTTACAAGCATTTGGTTGCTTTTTTAGTTTACCCCTCTTTTGAGGAAATAAACGAATTGAATTGAAAACAATGAATAAATATTTCTTTAAAATATGGGTCGGAAAGACATCTATCATACATGTTTTTGATGGCAAACTGAGTACTATTTTTCTAACGTTAGATTCTGTTAAAAGCATAAAGTCAGGAAAAGAACAATTCCCATTGTACTGAGCTTGACAAATAGTCGGACAATTAGACACATTGGTAGACTGTTTAATTTTATTTACTTTATCATTAAAAAACTTTAAGAATTGAGACGAATCTAAACCAATAATTTCACTCAATGACTGACCAGTGACCTGATTACAAAGGACTTTATTAATAACATTCCATAGATTTTTAGAAGATCCACTATTGTCTGGAACAAGTCTATTCCAATAACTGTTTCTTTTTTGTGAAAAAAGCCTAGATTTATTTTTCAAAGCTGCTATCCACTCATTTTTACATTTCTCTGTCTGATATTTTCTGTAATTCCTTTCTTTCTTTCGACAAAGTCTTTTGAAAGATTTACATTCACCATCATACCATGGAGCATTAACATCACATCTGACTTCTGCAAAACGAAGTGGAGCAACTGCATCAGCCAATTTTTTGAGTTCAGAACTCATCATATCAAACTCAATATTAATATTATTGCTTTGGCAAGACCTTGATAATAGAGAAGTCTGTATATATTTAATGAAATCGCTTTCATTTAGGTATTTCCAGGATCTAACTTGTTTCTTGACTATTTTAGGACGCTTATGAGTTAATGGTATATTAACCTGAATTAAACTATGGTCTGAAAAGTCCCACTGGGAAAAATCTTAATATCTGAAATCTGAAAATCTTGAAAACAAATCAGATCAAGAATACCTCCATGTTCATGAGTCGGTTCATCGATCAATTTTTTAATTGAAACATTTCTAATATTTCCAATAAATTTACAGTATGACGATCTTCCTGCTTCTCAAGGTGAATGTTGAAATCACCCAAAAGTATGATATTTAAACTAAAAGAAGTGATATTTTCTAGTAAACATAAAAATTCTTCAAAAAATAAATTACTAACTAAAACTGATCCTGGCCTGTAGAGGGCTAATAGAACAAAATTTATGTTGCTAATAAATAATTTAACAGCAAGTGCTTCAAATGAACTAAATATTGGCAGATCTATTTTCTTAAACTTAAATTCATTATTGAAGTAAATAATTAAACCCCCATGGTGAGGATCATTTATCCTTAAATAATCAACATAACTATATCCTGGTGGCATTGATGATTTAACAGAAATGTTATTCGAAGATCCGAGCCAAGTTTCAACTAAAACGAAAATATCTAGCCTATCATGAATCAAATCATGGATCGTATCAGTTTTAGAAATCAATGATCGAATGTTCAATAAACCTAGTGTTAAATTACGATTTATTATGTTGCAGTCTTTATCATTGTTATCATTTATTTCTAAATTCTTGACATATTTTATATTAACATTGGTTTTTTTCTGTATTTTTACAATCTTCCATCTCCCTACCTGTCCTCTCACTCTGAACAAAAATTTTGATTGTTTTCTTCTCGCTCCATAACTTTAGCTTTATCAACAAATGATTTGTATTCCTGCCTCTGATCCTTTGTTAAATCATAGTTCAGTCCAACATGTGAAAATTCTTTTAACGACTTGAATTTATATACATTTTTCATTATTGAGTCTCTGAGTAAAACGCAATCCAACTTTATCAAAATGGGTCTAACAACAGTTTCGCATTTCCTTCCCAGTCTCATTATTTTGATTACATTTTTTTCTGAAACATCTCCTGTCAAGTGCTTTAAAATTTTCAAAACATTGGAACGATCATCATCACTTTCATCTAAACGAAACATCAATAAATTTGTTTCTTTCTTTAGCGTCACTAGCTTCTTGTAAAGTTTTCTGGATTGATTTGACATCACTTCTAATTACTTCAACATTCAATTTAACTTCCTTGCTGACAATGCTAGAAAATGTTTCTTTTATTTCGTTTTTAGACATTTTAATTTCCTCGCGTAAAACAGTATCGAAACGATCAAGTTCGTCAAGTTTAGATTGGTTATGGTCAACAACCATTTTTATGCTATCAACGTCAAGTTTTATTTTTCTGTTACTATCATTTATTTCATTTAGTTGAGCAACAAATTTATTTTTAGACGCATCCATTGACTTAGCCAAAGAACTAACATCTTGAGACAAATCAACACAACGTTGACAAAACCATTTTAAACCTTTAACACTTCTCAAAATTTCAAGAATATCATCGTTAGTTTCACAATTATTGTGAACAAAAGTCTTGCAACAAGTGCATGACAACAAATCTTTACTTGGAACTTTTATTGTACACTTCGTACAACAGTAGCGACTACCGGACGACATTATTGAATTTATTATTATAATTAGTTACGCTTACTAGCGGGGAAATTCCTATCGCGTGACAGCAATTTACAGACAGTCGTAGTTATCACGCATCTTAAAATTGCAGAAGCAGTCCTAATTGACATCACTAAACCAAAAATAAATATACAACAAAAAATGACAACCTCACTTCCAACCCGGCGCTTAACCAACAACGAAAACAAAGAAGTAATAAAAACTAGCATCGTAAATAGTGACAAAGAAGAATATGATGCTATCGATGAAGAAAAGGAGACCAAAAAAGATGACCAGCCAATAAAGAAACCTGACACCTAATTTGCATCAAAGTTCAATTTTACAACACCAAAGTTAATTTTTACAACGTCAAAGTTCATCTTGACAAAGTCAATATTTCCCTATATATACAGCAAGGAGCACTGATGATGATTCATTCGGAATCGAAATATGGCCTTATTTGCAGCATGAATTCGAAAAATAAGTTTATTTTGAATTTTAATAAACTAAACGTTCACCAAAAAACTTTAGTGAGAAAAATCGAAAAAACGAACTACAAACATATTAACGCCATTAAAACATATAAACATATTTATATATATATATATATATATATAAATATATATATATAAACTTATATATATATGAACTTATATATATATATAAACTTATATATATATATATATATATATATATATATATATATATATATATATATATATATATATATATATATATATATGGAGAGAGATATATAACTTCTAATTCTCGAGAGAGATGGAAAATATATATATATATATATTGTTTCTCTGTCGAAACCGATATACGACGGGCTCAAATCTTCGATAGAAAAAAATACTCCAAACAGTTATTAGATATTAAACTTTATATACAGAAGAAAATCAACTAATCGTTTATTTCTAGCCAATTCAAATTAACGCAACAATTAACTTTTAAATTGTTCAAAATCTATCGCTATGACAATGTCAACAAACCAAATATCGCTTTAAATAATTCACCAAATCGCTATTCACAAAATCACAGAGTCAAGAATTTTCAAAATCACGAATTTCACTAAAGACGTCCACGGAGAACGTCCTTTCTTTCACTGTGGGTTGTACAGCCAAACTAATTCGTCGACAGCAAAACCGCCACTGCTTCCTTTCAAGTCGTATCTGGTTTTGGCCGCCTCCGTGTTTTTCATAATTTTAAGGCGTACGTAACGGTGGATATGGTTTAATCGCTGTCGAAGATTATCCACGTATTCTGTTAATGGTTGGTGTGGTTTAGGTGGTACGCCATATTTCACATCAGTGGAGTTCTTAAAGTAGTCCCAAACAGAACTTTTGATGGCGTTTCTCCAGTAGTTGTGTGGATAGCACTCCGGTATGCCATAAGAAACGTATATGACGATCCCAATCCCGTTGATTTTCGTCGACTACTTTAGCCAGATGTTCAATCAGGGTTTGGTTGAATCGTTCCACCATACCGTCTGACTGTGGGTGAAGAGGTGTCGTTCGAGTTTTGTTTATACCCAGCAGCTTGCACATTTCACCAAACAGTTGTGACTCAAAATTTCGACCTTGATCTGAGTGGAGTTCCAATGGGACACCATATCGACTAATCTAATTGAGTACAATATCCTCAGCGACGGTACATGCTTCTTGGTTGGGTATTGGAAACACCTCAGGCCATTTGCTGAAATAGTCCGCTACAACCAGAATGTAACGGTTTCCATAATCGGATACCGGAAAGGGTCCAGCAATATCTATAGCAATCCGTTCAAAGGGGACTCCAACATTGTAGATTTGCATTGCTCCTTTTAGCCTTCTTTTGGGTCCTTTGACTGAAACGCATGTGTTACATTTTCGACACCAGCTCTCTACATCTTCTCTAACGTGAAGCCAGTAGAATCCTTCTCGTATTTTGTCAAGGGTCTTGTTCACTTCTAAATGTCCCCCAGAAGGGCCGCCATGCATTTCATCAAGGATTTCGGTCGTTCTACTTCTTGGTATTACAACTTGCAGCGGTGTTTTGATCCATCAGCTGATTCCCATTTTTGTTTCAGCAAATCCCCTTCCAAATACAATGAGTCCCACTGAGCCCAATAACCCTTTAACACGGCACTATATTCTGAGATGCTTTGCCAGTCCGGTCGCTTGCCCTCCTTCTTCCATGTGACCAGATGTTGTAGGTCCTCATCCGCAAACTGTGCATCTGCAAGATCCGTCGGTGTCCAACCATCATCCGCTGATATTGTTGTTGCTCTTATGTCTTCCGATTGTATCTTCTCCTCGTGATGACAGCAATATTTGCATCCTGGTAAACATGGTCGACGTGAGAGAGCATCAGCATTACTATGAGTTGTTCCTTTGCGGTGCACGATCTCGAAGTCGTACATTTGTAAACGTTCCAACCATCGGGCCATCTGTCCTTCAAGATCCTTGAAGTTGAGGAGCCATCTTAACGCTGCATGATCAGTTCGGAAAAGAAATTTCTGTCCATAAAGGTACTTGTGGAAGTGTTTTTTTGCATTGACTATTGCTAGTAACTCCTTCCTAGTCACACAATAGTTTCGTTCGGGCTTTGTGAATCCTCTGCTATAATACGCTAGCACTTTTTCTTCTCCGTCTATATGCTGTGACAAAACGGCTCCGATTCCGTTGTTACTTGCATCAGTATCTAACACAAACGTCTTGCCACGAACTGGATATGCTAGCAAAGGAGCATCACATAGTTCAACTTTAAACATTTCAAATGCTGAGTCGCATAGGGTATTTCAGTTGAAAACTCGGTCCTTCTCGGTAAGTTGGTGGAGAGGTCTGGCAACTTTTGCAAAATCCTTTACAAAACGTCGATAGTACGTTGCCAATCCCAGAAAACTGCGCAATTCGTTTTTATCCTTTGGAGTTGGCCAGTCTTTCACAATTTCTATCTTGCTGGGATCGATTCGAACTCCATCTGAAGATACCACATGTCCCAAATAGTTAACTTCTTTAGAAAATAACCTGCAATTTTTAACGTTCAGCTTTTAATTTGCCACCCGAAGTCTTGTGAAGATCTCCCGTAAGTTTTCGACGTGTTGATTAAATGTTCTTCCTAGAACAATTATGTCGTCTAAATAGACAAGACAGGTTTTCCAGTTAAGACCTTGCAATACACATTCCATCATTCGCTCGAATGTAGCTGGAGCATTGCACAATCCAAATGGCATGACGGTGAATTGCCACAACCCCGATCCGATAGAAAACGCTGTCTTTTCGCGATCGTTCTTGTCGATTTCTACCTGCCAGTATCGCTTTTCAAATCAAGCGTAGAGAACCAACTTGAGCCAGATAGGGTGTCCATGATGTCATCAATCTTCGGTAACGGATAGCTGTCCTTTTTAGTCACATCATTTAACTTCCTATAATCAACGCAAAAACGGGTAGTGCCGTCCTTCTTCTTTACCAAAACAACTGGCGAAATCCAGGGACTTGATGACGGTTCGATGACGCCTTGATTCTGCATTGTCGTTATCATTTTGTTTACTTTTGTTTGTTTTGCTAGAGGAAGACGTCGTGGTACTTGTCGGATCGGTTTCGAATCCTGAGTATCAATTCGGTGAGTTACCAGAGCTGTTTTACCTTGGTCATTGTCACCGGTTGAAAACACGTCTGCAAAATCAGCAATCAACGCCTCAGTTTTTAGACGGTCTTCTTGATACAAATTGAGTTCATCCAGTAAATTTTTGGTAAGTTCTTTGAGCCTACCTTTGTCAGTTGGTAGAACCTTTTCCTGTTGCTCCATATCTAATGATTTCACCAAATTTATTGATTGGCAATTACCTATTTCTTCGCCTTTTTTAATTTTAATAGTGTGTTTAGCGGTATTCATTATTCTGACAGGAATAAGACCATTTTCGTTCGCTTCTACCAGGCATTTTCCAATGACCGCGTTCTGTACATTTGTCGTTGAGGTTGGCTCCATCAAATAGAACTGGTGGCCCCCAGGATCACAATTCAACTTGCCCCATACGATGTTTTCAGATGATTCAGGTAGTTCTATGTCACAACCGACTGTCACTCGAATGCATTTTTCGTCGCTATCCCCCATGCGTTTTTCTAAGCCAATTTTGAACCCATATTTTGTCAAAAAGTCGACACCTATTATGCATTCGTCGACTAAGAATGAACTTTCGAATAACAAGTCGCTTAGCTGAACAGTACGGAGAATCTTTCCATAGACTGGTGCTGTTCCTCCGGTAGCTGTTCGAAGGATGTATTTGTTAGAAGTCTCTTTCTTCAGATTGGGTACCAAATCAGATCTTAAAATCGATTTTGTTGCTCCGGTGTCGACTGTAATTACACATTCTCGTTGATCAACTTTTCCGTTCGGCCATAGGTCGTTTCGATTTCGATGTAGTCTGGAAACGTTAATTACGGTACTGGGGGCGTCAATTCTATTAGCCAACCTCTGCCCCACAAAGTTGGCTCTTATTAGCTTTTCCACCCCTTCGTTAGAAAGGGCCGATCGTGATACAGGATCATCTTCTCTTCTTTTGCGCCATCTTGTCGCGCAATTTCGGCAGTAGTTATCTTTTAGGTGGTGTTTACAATCACGACGTAGATGGCCTTTTTTACCACAAATCCAGCATTGGGGTACACCATGCTGTTGAAGTTCGCGTTTCACAACCACCTTCTGGCAAGAGCATTCTTCATGTACTCCAATTCTCGCTTTAATTTGTCTATCTTGTGATCTACCTCAACGGTCTGACGATCAAGTTTCTGCTCGATCATTTCTATTCTTGTTGACTGTTCTTCAATCTGCTCTGCCACTTCTAATTTTACGTATTTTAGCTGGTCCTTGATCTGTTTTAACTCCTCTGTCTGTCGTTCGGACTGTCGTTCGGACTGTTCTTTGATTTGTTTTAACTCCTCTGTCTGTCATTCGGACTGTTGTTCGGACTGTTCTTTGATCTGTTTTAACTCCTCTGTCTGTCGTTCGGACTGTTGTTTTATTTCAGTTGACATACTAAGCAGAAGTTCCATCATTTTAGCGGTTGTAAACGTGCCTGTGCTAATTTCATTGTCGTCGTCAGCACCATCAAACTTGAACTCGTTTGGGTTCTTACCTTCGTCAATAAGAGCTTCTTTCAGACGTGCTACTAGTACTTCTTTGTTGCCACTTGTGACAAGGCTTCGTTTCTGTAGTTCTTCTCGTAGCTTAACTACATTCAAACCACACAATTTTGACAT